AACTGAGGAAAGGAGGATAGAAGCACAAACCAGAATATGTACGATGGTACAATATGGTTGCAGCTGGGAATCCCAATTATCATGGACGAAGAGATGGTGGCCGCGGAAGAGAATCAGTAATAGCAAGAATCCGTCTTGGATGCAAACATCCATGGAAATTCGGAATGGAAAAACAGTTGAACAGCGGAGTTGCAGAATCTGTGGTGAGAGTGACGGACATGATGGACACCGCCTTGACCACTACCTGAGAGAATGTGAACACACGAGAGACATTAGAAATATGTGTAGAATAATAAACCCCACATTGTTCGAGTTAGGAAAACACTATTTGTCAAATATAGGACTGTTCTTAAAAGATTCCCCCATTTTGCATCCCACCAGATAACATAAGATTTTAAGGGTTGACAGATGTTTGTTTGAGGAGCTGTTCACTTGAGATAGTTAAGCAAGTCCCAGTTGTGTCTGGGTACAAGTGACAGGATGAACAACCCAGCGGGGTTTCTTCCTATTGGGGAGTGTTGTACATGCTGCTATGGCGGTGTGTCCACTCACAGGATGAGTCCCGCTGCCCAATACTGTCACTATGGCGGTGTGTCCACTCACAGGATGAGTGGCGCTGCCCAATACTGTCACTATGGCGGTGTGTCCACTCACAGGATGAGTGGCACTGCCCAATAAACTCGCCCCTCGGGGCAAAATTAACAAAAAAATTAAGAGTTCTTACATTCTTACACAGCCGCCAGCACGCGTAGCATTTCAGACAAGTTCTTAGTCCTAATATTTCCCGGAATACGACCCGCCAAATCGTTTAACAACCAGGTACCCCTTCCAATGCTGGGTGAACAGAAGCTACAGTTAAGGATTGGCGCCCGGTCAATCCTTCCCAGCCAGGATACGAACCCAGGTCGATGCGCCAGGCGAGTGTTTTGCCACTGCCCCACGAGGGGACTCTCCTGTATTACTGGCAAATAGAGGGACCTTGGACAAGCCGCCGGCTTCCTGTCATCGTCGAAGCCACTAGTGTTAGTGGCTCTCAGGTAAACTCCGGCTTCCGGTTCACAGGGTATCTAATTACTGCTGGGTGAACAAATGCATCAGGTGAAAATACATGCGTAACTATTAGTCCTATATAATGTTACCTATACTGTATATGCTTGAAAGAAAATATACACAATATACGTACTCAAAACATACTTTCTACGCTGTATGTGAACAGCGTAGTGATTATTGTTATAATCTATACACGACATTTTGTTAATAAATTTGATTTTTAATTTGTAAATATGATTCCAATTTAAATTATCTAACTGGTTAAAAATTGGTCATTTCAGATGGAAGAATCCCAGGATGATCTGGCTGTTATCCACGCCGTCCTGGAGATGGGTACAGGGGATGAAGGTATGGTGTACTCACCTGGTGTACTCACCTGGTGTACTCACTTGGTGTACTCACCTGGTGTACCCACCTGGTGTACTCACTTGGTGTACTCACCTGGTGTACTCACTTGGTGTACTCACCTGGTGTACTCACCTGGTGTACTCACCTGGTGTACCCACCTGGTGTACTCACTTGGTGTACTCACCTGGTGTACTCACTTGGTGTACTCACTTGGTGTACTCACCTGGTGTACTCACCTGGTGTACTCACCTGGTGTACTCACTTGGTGTACTCACCTGGTGTACTCACCTGGTGTACCCACCTGGTGTACTCACTTGGTGTACTCACCTGGTGTACTCACCTGGTGTACCCACCTGGTGTACTCACCTGGTGTACTCACCTGGTGTACTCACCTGGTGTACTCACCTGGTGTACTCACCTGGTGTACCCACCTGGTGTACTCACTTGGTGTACTCACCTGGTGTACTCACCTGGTGTACTCACCTGGTGTACCCACCTGGTGTACTCACTTGGTGTACTCACCTGGTGTACTCACCTGGTGTACTCACCTGGTGTACTCACCTGGTGTACTCGGTGTACTCACCTGGTGTACTTGGTGTACCCACCTGGTGGGTATATATATATATATATATATATATATATATATATATATATATTGGTGTATACTGGCAGCAGGTTTTCTTTCAAACATGTTTCATTGAATATGACCGCATATTCTGTATTTATTATTTTCTGGTTTAGGGCTTCTATCCCTCTAACTATTTTCTTAGCATCAGGGCTTAATTGAAATAGGAGTTCTCCAAAACTCATTTTCGTACTTTTAAGGTGAAGAAAAGAAGTGATTTACTATAGAGTGTATTACACTTATTTGTATAATTTGCACGACGTTTCGAACCTCCATGGTTCATTCTCAAGTGAACAGATCTTACAATACTAGTTGATTTTATACCCGCATTAGGTCAGGTGATAATACAATGAAGGTGAAAACATGGGGGGATACATAAGGGATAAACATAGGGGCTGCAGAAGGCGTATTGGCCCATACGAGGCATCTCCTATCTAAACACAAAGATTAATCCAGTGTAATTGGCCCCTTACATGAGTAGGGTCTAAAATCTGGTAAAATTATGTACCCTGGACGTCATTGTTGCTTAAGCGAATTAATTTAACCTATTCTCACCCAACCTAGCCTAATCCAACTATTCCACCCTGACTCAACCTTTTCTATTCTATCGAAATTAATAATTAATAAATATTGTGTTTTATATATATTTCGTGTTCACAAAGGTGTATGACGTCAATATGACGTCATAAGCTTTATGTCGTCACAAGGCGTCAAACGCTTCAAGACGCTACTATGAGATCATATGTTTTTATCACATTTCCTATTATGTTTTACCATATCCATGAAAAATAGCATAACAGGATTATAAAAAAAATCGCATTAGCGGACTTTAATTTTCCTCATTACAGTACGACATTTTTTCCCGTCTGCTGTACGATAAGTTTTCCAAATGGAATACAATATTTTTTTATTTTCGTATACAATGTCGATGGTAATATTTCGTGCATTATTATATAGGACTGTTTACCGGAGTGGGCAGGTTGACCAGGCGGCGATCCTATGTACCTAGATTGTTCTAGATGTCAGGGACAGGAAGCCTGCGTCCATATACACTTTAGGCTTGCATCAAAATGTATAATTTATTTATATACAAGATGCCGCACCAGTTATATGCACCTACTCCCAAAGCGATATGAGAAGACTCGAAAGCAAACAAAAGGAAGCCATGATAATCATTCTTGGAGTTCCAAGAACTGCCAAATCGTCTAATCTACGAGAGGAGTTGTCCCTCATCAGTGTTAAAAGCAGAGTTAAGGAAGTGAATGCTAAGCTTGCAATTAGGATAGCCAGAGATCCCCATTACAATGATATAGTGATTTGCACCGATTCAAAGGCAGCACTGCAAAGCCTAAGTAAAAATCAGGCAGAAAATCTTGCAATAGTCGCTGAAATCAAGAGAGCTGTGAGAATACTTACCAATCAGGGAAGAGTCATCAAGTTTCTGTGGATCCCCTCCCATGTTGGAATATGTGGAAATGAACGAGCAGATGTGCTGGCTGCTGAAGGCGCTGAAGGAGACCATATTGAATACTTCATACCCAAGACTCAACTACAAATTAGAGGTATTATCAGGCAACATCACCGTGACAAGGTAACTGAGGAAAAGAGGATAGAAGCACAAACCAGTGAATCTGTACGATGGTACAACATGGTTGCAGCTGGCAATCCCAATCAGTATGGCCGAAGAGGAGGACGACGAGGGAGAGAATCAGTAATAGCGAGAATCCGTCTTGGATACAAATATCCATGGAGATTTGGAATGGAAACAACAGTTGATCAGCGAAGCTGCAGAATCTGTGCTGAGAGTGATGGACACCGCCTTGACCACTATCTACGTGAATGTGAACACCTGAGAGACATTAGGAATAACTGTAGAATAACCCCACATTGTTTGAGTTAGGAAAACACTATTTGTCAAATATTGATACTGTTCTTAAAAGATTTCCCCATTTTGCACCCGCAAGATAACGTAAGCTTTTAAGGGTTGATAAATGTTAATCTTCTTGTTTGAGGAGCTGTTCACTTGAGACAGTTAAGCAAGTCCCAGCTGTGTCTGGGTACAAGTGACAGGATGAACAACCCAGCTGGTTTTCTTCCTATTGGGGCGTGTTGTACATTCTGCTATGGCGGTATGTTCACTCACAAGATGAGTGGCGCTGCCCAATAAACTCGCCCCTCAGGGCAAAATTTAAAAAAAAATTTAAATGATATTGTCAAGAAAAAACTGAGTTCTGTATTATTTACAGGAGAAGCAAAAAATGGCATCACAGATCAGTCTGCTTCCTCGAAGAACTTCACCTGCTTGAGCAAGCCCGTGAGCTCCTGCCTGTAGAGAGGTTACCTCCCTGGGAGGATGACTCCTGCAAGATCATCAATGAAATGGCAACGAAAAAGTCCAACATGATACCTCAAGAAATGAGGCACAAGTATCTCGAGGAAATTTATAAAGAAGCCGGAGATGAACTAGATCAAAGCTACACTGATGGGTCATCCAACCCTGTCAATGGCAGGGCTGGTGCAGCATACACTGGAATTAGGAATAATGCCTTTCATCGCAGAAATGAAGAGAAAGCACGTATTGCAAACTATGCTTCTTCAACGCAAGCAGAGCTAACTGTCATTGTTATGGCGTTAAAATTCCTTGAACGAAACACTAATGGCGCAGTGGTCTGCAAAGCAGCGTTACAAAGCCTAAGTAAAAATCGGGCAGAAAATCTTGCGGTCGCTGAAATAAAGAGAGCTGTAAGGGTACTAATCAACCAGGGAAGAGTCGTCAAGTTTCTGTGGATCCCCTCCCATGTTGGAATATATGAGAATGAACGGGCAGATGTGCTGGCTGCTGAAGGAGACCATATTGAATACTTCATACCCAAGACTCTACTACAAATTAGAGGTATTGTCAGGCAACATCACCGTGACAAGGTAACTGAGGAAAGGAGGATAGAAGCACAAACCAGAATATGTACGATGGTACAATATGGTTGCAGCTGGGAATCCCAATTATCATGGACGAAGAGATGGTGGCCGCGGAAGAGAATCAGTAATAGCAAGAATCCGTCTTGGATGCAAACATCCATGGAAATTCGGAATGGAAAAACAGTTGAACAGCGGAGTTGCAGAATCTGTGGTGAGAGTGACGGACATGATGGACACCGCCTTGACCACTACCTGAGAGAATGTGAACACACGAGAGACATTAGAAATATGTGTAGAATAATAAACCCCACATTGTTCGAGTTAGGAAAACACTATTTGTCAAATATAGGACTGTTCTTAAAAGATTCCCCCATTTTGCATCCCACCAGATAACATAAGATTTTAAGGGTTGACAGATGTTTGTTTGAGGAGCTGTTCACTTGAGATAGTTAAGCAAGTCCCAGTTGTGTCTGGGTACAAGTGACAGGATGAACAACCCAGCGGGTTTTCTTCCTATTGGGGAGTGTTGTACATGCTGCTATGGCGGTGTGTCCACTCACAGGATGAGTCCCGCTGCCCAATACTGTCACTATGGCGGTGTGTCCACTCACAGGATGAGTGGCGCTGCCCAATACTGTCACTATGGCGGTGTGTCCACTCACAGGATGAGTGGCGCTGCCCAATACTGTCACTATGGCGGTGTGTCCACTCACAGGATGAGTGGCACTGCCCAATAAACTCGCCCCTCGGGGCAAAATTAACAAAAAAATTAAGAGTTCTTACATTCTTACACAGCCGCCAGCACGCGTAGCATTTCAGACAAGTTCTTAGTCCTAATATTTCCCGGAATACGACCCGCCAAATCGTTTAACAACCAGGTACCCCTTCCAATGCTGGGTGAACAGAAGCTACAGTTAAGGATTGGCGCCCGGTCAATCCTTCCCAGCCAGGATACGAACCCAGGTCGATGCGCCAGGCGAGTGTTTTGCCACTGCCCCACGAGGGGACTCTCCTGTATTACTGGCAAATAGAGGGACCTTGGACAAGCCGCCGGCTTCCTGTCATCGTCGAAGCCACTAGTGTTAGTGGCTCTCAGGTAAACTCCGGCTTCCGGTTCACAGGGTATCTAATTACTGCTGGGTGAACAAATGCATCAGGTGAAAATACATGCGTAACTATTAGTCCTATATAATGTTACCTATACTGTATATGATTGAAAGAAAATATACACAATATACGTACTCAAAACATACTTTCTACGCTGTATGTGAACAGCGTAGTGATTATTGTTATAATCTATACACGACATTTTGTTAATAAATTTGATTTTTAATTTGTAAATATGATTCCAATTTAAATTATCTAACTGGTTAAAAATTGGTCATTTCAGATGGAAGAATCCCAGGATGATCTGGCTGTTATCCACGCCGTCCTGGAGATGGGTACAGGGGATGAAGGTATGGTGTACTCACCTGGTGTACTCACCTGGTGTACTCACTTGGTGTACTCACCTGGTGTACCCACCTGGTGTACTCACTTGGTGTACTCACCTGGTGTACTCACTTGGTGTACTCACCTGGTGTACTCACCTGGTGTACTCACCTGGTGTACTCACCTGGTGTACCCACCTGGTGTACTCACTTGGTGTACTCACCTGGTGTACTCACCTGGTGTACTCACCTGGTGTACCCACCTGGTGTACTCACTTGGTGTACTCACCTGGTGTACTCACCTGGTGTACTCACCTGGTGTACTCACCTGGTGTACTCACCTGGTGTACCCACCTGGTGTACTCACCTGGTGTACTCACCTGGTGTACTCACCTGGTGTACCCACCTGGTGTACTCACCTGGTGTACTCACCTGGTGTACTCACCTGGTGTACTCGGTGTACTCACCTGGTGTACTTGGTGTACCCACCTGGTGTACCCACCTATATATATGGTATATATCATATGGTGTATATATATATATATATATCACCTATGTACTCGGTGTACTCACCTGGTATATATATATATATATATATATATATATATATATATATATATATATATATATATATATATATTGGTGTATACTGGCAGCAGGTTTTCTTTCAAACATGTTTCATTGAATATGACCGCATATTCTGTATTTATTATTTTCTGGTTTAGGGCTTCTATCCCTCTAACTATTTTCTTAGCATCAGGGCTTAATTGAAATAGGAGTTCTCCAAAACTCCTTTTCGTACTTTTAAGGTGAAGAAAAGAAGTGATTTACTATAGAGTGTATTACACTTATTTGTATAATTTGCACGACGTTTCGAACCTCCATGGTTCATTCTCAAGTGAACAGATCTTACAATACTAGTTGATTTTATACCCGCATTAGGTCAGGTGATAATACAATGAAGGTGAAAACATGGGGGGATACATAAGGGATAAACATAGGGGCTGCAGAAGGCTTATTGGCCCATACGAGGCATCTCCTATCTAAACACAAAGATTAATCCAGTGTAATTGGCCTGTTACACTGGATTAATCTTTGTGTTTAGATAGGAGATGCCTCGTATGGGCCAATAAGCCTTCTGCAGCCCCTATGTTTATCCCTTATGTATCCCCCCATGTTTTCACCTTCATTGTATTATCACCTGACCTAATGCGGGTATAAAATCAACTAGTATTGTAAGATCTGTTCACTTGAGAATGAACCATGGAGGTTCGAAACGTCGTGCAAATTATACAAATAAGTGTAATACACTCTATAGTAAATCACTTCTTTTCTTCACCTTAAAAGTACGAAAAGGAGTTTTGGAGAACTCCTATTTCAATTAAGCCCTGATGCTAAGAAAATAGTTAGAGGGATAGAAGCCCTAAACCAGAAAATAATAAATACAGAATATGCGGTCATATTCAATGAAACATGTTTGAAAGAAAACCTGCTGCCAGTATACACCAATATAAACCCACATGACCCAGCAGTCCGCAATACAGAGTTTACCTATAGGTATAGGCAAGAGCTCATTCGGCATCAACTAAACAAGAAGAAGGAAGCCCTCCAAACCTTCATAGAGCAGGCGGAGCATCTGTTAAACAAATGGACCCAGTACGACATCCCTATCCAACTCAAGCAAATCATCAACAGTAAACTATTTAACCTGAAACAACAACATAAAACTCTTGTAGAAACAAAGACACTCCGTAAGTTAACATCCCTAAACGGTGGACAGCTAAAAATCCCTCGTCCTAAAGATGGCTACTTTAACCTGACTTCTTATGATCTTACCCAGGACCAACGAGACCTCTTAAATCTTGGTTTAAATTGTCAATTCTTATCTAAACCAAAGATGCATCAAAAACGCCTGGAAATCGAAATGCTTCTGGACGATATCCATAAGCTAGAAGACAACAAAAAAGTCATCACCACTGACACACTTCAAGCTGAACTACTTGCAGAAGCAGGGAAAAAACGAGGAACATATTCATCTACAATCTTAACCCCACGACTCAAAGAAGCAGCGAAACAACTAAAAAATCTGAAAGACGTAACAATAAGAAAAGCCGACAAAACAGCAGCATATGTATTGATTCCTACCCATGAATACATGAACAAAATTAGCGACATCCTAAGTGACGACTCCAAATTTCAACGAATCACGAGGAACCCCGTAGAAGACCTTAAGCGGAAAGTAAACAAAACAATTACAGCAATCAACGCAAAGAAAGGTAGTGTGCATTTCAATAAACTTCAAGGCGACTATGGCTTAGGATATGCCTACGGCAATGTTAAGACGCATAAACCAGGTAACCCACTACGCCCTATAATCAGCCAAATACCAACCCCAACTTATCACCTGGCAAAGAAACTCAATGAACTCCTAACTCCATACACTCCAAGTAAGTTTAGTCTACAATCATCAGCAGATTTCCTAGAATTGATCAAATCTATCCAGCCCGATGGAATCATCGCTTCCCTGGACGTTGAATCCCTTTTTACCAACGTCCCAGTCGACACAACCATAGGAATGATACTGGACAGAGTATACAGAGACGAGAGCACCCCCAAATTAGACATACCTGAGCCACACTTGAAAAGTCTTCTCGAAGCATGTACAAAGGAAGCCCCTTTCATCAGTCCACAAGGAGACATGTATTTACAAATAGACGGAGTAGCAATGGGCTCCCCCTTAGGAGTTTTATTTGCTAATTTTTATATGGGAACCATCGAAGATAGGGTCTTCAGTAGCAGACAAAAACCAACTGTATACTGCCGTTATGTAGATGACATATTCGTAATAGTAAAAGACTCAGATGAACTAATTGACCTAAAAAGACACCTAGAGAGAGAGTCAGTACTCCGATTTACACATGAAAATAGTGAAAATAACAGTCTGCCATTCTTGGATGTACTAATAACAAAAACAGGAACCTCTTTAAGCACCAACGTATATACCAAGCCCACCAACATAGGATTATGCCTGAACGGTAGAAGTGAGTGCCCCCAAAGATACAAAGCCAGTGTTCTCAATGCTTATATTCGTCGAGCGCTTACCCACTGCTCTGAATGGAGCAACGTGAGTAGAGAGTTTGAAAGAGTAACTCAGGTATTGGTGAACAACGGATATAGCAACGCGGAAATAAACGCTGCTATAAGAAGACACTTGGACCGTTGGTATAATTCAGAACCTAGAACAGAAACCACAACACCCCCAATAAAATTATATTACAAATCAACCATGCACAGTGAACATATAAAAGAGGAAAGAATAATGAAAGAAATAATCCGTAAAGGAGTAAAAAGCACTACTCCTAACCAAAACATAAACCTGATAATATTCTACAAAACCAAGAAGACTTCCGAACTCCTTATCAAAAACAGCCCGAAGCCGACGGAGAACCCTCTACAGCAGTCAAGCGTTGTATACATGTACACTTGCCCCCACGAAGGATGTAACCTTCAATGTAAGTACATAGGTATGACGTCGACCAAGCTGACGAGGCGTTTGACATGCCATCTTCAATCTGGTGCCCCTAGGAATCACATGAGACAAGCCCATGACATTACTCTAACAAGAGAAATGTTGAACAAGAATACTTGCATAATAGACAAAACCCAAGATTCAAAAAGATTACAAATTCTTGAGGCAATTCACATAAGAATAGAGCGACCTACCATGAACACCCAAATCACGGAACTATTTACTCTACCCACCATGAGAGTAAGGACAAGACAAGAACATATCGATGCCAACACAGAAGACAATGTCCAACATAACAGGCCAATTACACTGGATTAATCTTTGTGTTTAGATAGGAGATGCCTCGTATGGGCCAATAAGCCTTCTGCAGCCCCTATGTTTATCCCTTATGTATCCCCCCATGTTTTCACCTTCATTGTATTATCACCTGACCTAATGCGGGTATAAAATCAACTAGTATTGTAAGATCTGTTCACTTGAGAATGAACCATGGAGGTTCGAAACGTCGTGCAAATTATACAAATAAGTGTAATACACTCTATAGTAAATCACTTCTTTTCTTCACCTTAAAAGTACGAAAATGAGTTTTGGAGAACTCCTATTTCAATTAAGCCCTGATGCTAAGAAAATAGTTAGAGGGATAGAAGCCCTAAACCAGAAAATAATAAATACAGAATATGCGGTCATATTCAATGAAACATATATATATATATATATATATATATATATATATATATATATATATATATATATATATATATATATATATATCATAGTAGGACGCCAGCACCAGGCTTCTGCTACTTCTCTTAGTATCCACGGTGATATCTGGTGTCACAGGCATAACTGCATCTAGCTACAGCAAGAAACGTTTTAATTCACCTTTATTTCAAAGCCCTCCAGTGATACTTATATTGGTTTCATCCCTTTACTTCAGGAACGTCTCCTTGCTCTATTGTGAAGACCTATTGAGTTCTTCGCACACTTTTCTATTGTTCTCAGTGAATAAGTCCTATCCAATGTGGTAGTGGTAGTGGTGGTGGACTGACAACAACCATTATCTTCCCTCAGACATGGTGGAGCCGGAGGACCTCACTGAGAGAGAGAGAGGTGAGAGAATCATAGATGTTCTCATCCCACCTTGCGAATGGCAGGATGAACAAGGCGTCAACTGGATCCAGAGGGTGAGTCTTATTGCTAGTTTATTGTGCACAGGACGAACAAGGCAGCAATAGAATGTCGTATTGATCCTGTGTCAGTTTATTGTGCACCCCATACTCATCCTGTGAGTGGTAGTGTATATATAAATATATATATATATATATATATATATATATATATATATATATATATATATATATGGTCTGAACGGTCTCCAGTCATGTATACAACTGAAAACTCACATCCCAGAAGTGACTCGAACCCATACTGCCAGAAGCACTGCAACTGATGTACAGGATTTTTTGTGTTCCTCACGTGTGCCCCAAAGAATGAGGTGATTTGATAAAATACCATGCCCAAGATTACCAACAGAGTGCCGGCGGGGAGATGGGGAATTAGCCTCGGCTACCATCCTCTTTGTCGTGTTGGTCGAGTGGTTAAGGGATCCTGTACATCAGTTGCAGTGCTTCTGGCAGTATGGGTTCGAGTCACTTCTGGGGTGAGTATTATATATATATATATATATATATATATATATATATATATATATATATATATATATATATATATATATATATATATAATATATATTTGTTCGAACACTTCCGGAATAAGTACTTCACTGACGAATTTTGTTCGAACCACAACGCTGTAAATGCTTCACCCACGTACTACAAATACAAATAATCGCCAACAGAACCTAAACACCTAACCGAACCTAACCTATGCTTTTATATATACACATTATGCTAATATATTATAATATTATTAATTTATATTTGAAAAAATTCCCGTTTTGAGTGAACAGCATGTAAACATTTATGAATGCGTCTGTACTCACCTAATACTCACCTAATGGAGTGGGGTGGGGTTGACCGCTGGATGTAATGGACTCGAGTCGAGGACGGGTTGATGCGCCTTAGCGTATCCAGTACTTAACCCACTAGTACTTAACCCACTAGTACTTAACCCACTAGTACTTAACCCACTAATACTTAACCCACTAGTACTTAACCCACTAATACTTAACCCACTAGTACTTAACCCACTAATACTTAACCCACTTAACATCGACTGTTCAAAAGAACTGGTAGTCGTCATCCCCTTATTGCAATCCCCGACAGCACTCGGTGTTCAAATTGGAGGACAGATATTTCATCGACACACCTCGCAATCACCTCATCGAGTGCTGTCGGGCATTGGGGTAAGGGTCTAACTACCACCACTATAACCACCACCACAACCACCCCCACTACCACAGGTGTCGCGGGCGCCACCCAGCAGGACGGCGGTCATCCAGCTCTGGGAACAACTGGACCTGAAGATCCAGGAACAACAGGCAAGAACAAAAGGCATTTGTGCTATACGGCGGGCCTTGTACCGTGAGTGTTATGGTACGTGTCTCTTGTTGTACAGTGAGTGTTCTGGTACGTGTCCCGTACGTGTCTCTTGTTGTACCGTGAGTGTTATGGTACGTGTCTCGTACGTGTCTCTTGTTGTACCGTGAGTGTTATGGTACGAACTCACCTGGTTATACTCATCTAGTTGTGCTTGAGAGGGTTGAGCTCTTGGTCTTTGGTCCCGCCTCTCAACTGTCAATCAACTTGTGTATGAGCCTACTGGGTTCTATTAAATCTACATTTGAAACTGTATAGAGTCAGCTTCCACCACATCACTGCCTAATGCATTCCATCTGTTAACTATTCTGACACTGAGAAAGTTCTTTCTAACGTCCCTGTAGCTCATATGCGTACTCAGTCTCCTCCTGTGTCCCCTTGTTCGCGTACCATCTATGTTAAACAGTTTATCTTTATCTACCCTGTCAATTTTTCTGAGAATTTTCTATCACTTGTTTATTTATTTAGTTATTTATTTACTAGCTGTACCCAGCCACGCATTGCTGTGGCTCAACAACACATTGCGTTACGGAGCCTACCATTCCCTCCTCCCCCGTCCCCTTGTCCTCCCCACCATCCCCCACTCCACCGACCCCTTGTCCTCCCCACCATTCCCAACTCCCCTGTCCCCTCGTCCTCCCTACCATTCTCCACTCCCTCGTCTGATGCATTCCCTAATAATCTGATGTTCCCATCAGAAAATTGGGAACATCAAATGAACTGATGTTCCCATAACTTAAAAATAAGAACAGTTAAAAAACGAAATGAGAAACAATGAAAAAAATATATTCTCATGAAATGAACGGTATGATAAACAAAACGGCTCAATTCCAACGCAATGTCACAAAATAAATAAATCAAAATGAAAATAAATCAAAATCTATGAAAATTAAATTTATCAATGCAATCGGAAACAAGGAAATTGAATCATAACATATTTAGTATAGCATGTGGCTCTTATGTGCAACAGATGGCGCTGTTTAAAAAAAAGCATGTTTTTACCTGTCACGGGTGTGGCATCTATATAGTAGGTATATATAAAAAAGCGCATATTCGAAAGGAACGTTGTGTCAAAATTTCAAAGCAATCAGTTTAGATCTTTTGGAGATTACAGCGTGTGTTGCTCTTACGTCCAATAGATGGCACTGTTTTTTAAAACGCGCATGTTTTTTTCCTGTCACAGGTGAGGCATGCATATAGTAGGTATACAATAACATGCGCCTATTCGAATACAACATTATGTCAAAATTTCAAAGCAATCGGTAAAGAGGTTTCGAAGATTTCCCTCGCATGAAAAACACAGTTTTTCAGAAAAACATTATTTTTACCGTCACAGACGTGACATCTATATAATATGTATATATAAACCTGCTCGTATGCGAATCGAACGTTGTGTGAAAATTTCAAAGCAATCGGTGAAGAACTTTCGGAGATTAGCGATTTTGAACAAACGAACATTTACATTTTTATTTATATAGATTTATGTACAAGGTTCAATAGGTTTGTGAGAGTACATAACATTGTTGCAAGGCCACTAACACTTATAGCGTGTTGTTGTGTGTCTCCTTTTGTTAGATGTCTCTTGTGCGGGGCTCTTGTTGGGGGGGTCTTTTGTAGTGTAATTACCTAAGTGTAGTTACAGGATGAGAGCTCGTGGTGTCCCGCCTTCCCGGAACTCTTTGTCATATAACTTTATGAAACCACTGATGGTCTTGGCTCTTGTTGGGGTCTCCTGTTGTGTGTTGATCTTGTTGAATAGGGCTCTTTTTTCCTTGTGGCTCTTGCTGGGAGTGATTTGTTTGGTTGGGCTTTTGCTGGAAGTGGCTCTTGTTGTGAGTCACTTATTGGCTCTTGCTCTTGTTGTGTGACTTTTTATGTGTCTCTTGTTGCGTGACTCTTGTTGCGTGACTCTTGTGTGTCTTCTGTTGCGTGACTTTTGTTGTGTGTCTTCTGTTGCGTGACAAACAGCAGTGCTGATACTCTCAATACTAATAAGAGAACGTGCATTAATATATTACTAATAAGAGAACGTCCATAATATATTACTAATAAGAGCACTTGCATTAATATATTGCAGACGAGTTGATTCGACAGGTGACGTTAGACTGTCCTGAACGTGGGCTCCTGCTGTCTAGGTGAGTTACTGTCTAATTCCTGCTTCTTCCTGTCTAGCTGACTAACGTTAAGGGCAGTATAGGCTTACTTCAACGCCCCTTCCTTCCCACACTAATCGCAGTATAAGCTTAATTTAGCGCCCTCAATGCTAATTCAACTATAGGATATACACACCGAGAGGTATTCTCCACACCTCGGTGTATATACAAAGATTACTCCTGGACTATGATCAGGGCTAAGTGTTACGAACCCAAGTTCATCATCCGAACACGGAGCAGTGACGTCAACGCCATCTGTGAGTCCGCTCCCGAAACCCCCATGAAATGGACGACGCCATCTAGTGGTGGCAGGAATATGCCAGCTCGACATGCTAGATTCTTGTCCTGGTAGCTCGTGAGGTAGCTAGTGCTGACCTCTGGTGAGGTGGTGCTCACAACATCAGCACCATCTATTGAGCTTGAAGCTGTACGTTTGCGTATAAGCCAGTAAGTGATGTTTCCTAGTGGTTCCCATGTAGTGTCCCAGTACTGATGACGTGTCTGCTTTCACAGAGTCAACATAGGGCTGTTGTGATGCAGGAAGAGTCAGTTTACCCAAGGCAGCCAAGGTCTCTTCACCAGTCTGCTTTGCAGAAGCAGTGAGCCGCCGCCGGACGAGCACCGCAGTGTGTTCAACTGTCTGCCTGAGGAGTGGCAGTGACGGGATTTGCCATACCCGGGGCTGGCTGGTGGAAGAGACGTCCGACTGTGGTGCCGAACGAGGAGAGTAACCAGCGAGTTACACGAGGCTCCTGCCTAGGGCGCGCAACCCTAGTATACGTCGTGAAGTGGCCTAACAGCGAGGCTAATTGGTACCTGCCAGCTACAGGCTGGACTGTGGTTGTGGGCCATCACGACAAGGTACCCAGTGGAATTGTGATTTGACTGGCCTGTGGCCAGGGTAGATTCATTGTGGTTTCCTGGTACTTGCAGAGGGTAGTGCCGTGGAATAGGAAACCGGGCAAGACTGCACGGAGTGAGCTTCGTCAAGTGTTCAACGTCTTCAGAGTGAGACGATAATGTACATTGTGTAGTGATATTTCCCGTTTGTGACTTTTATTTATCTATGGTGGTGGAAGACTAATTATACATAGTATAAAGTGCCGGACATGTGTGTTTAACGTACCTCCCCTTTTCATTTTTACTTGCATTACTGAGCTCACCCCCTGAAAGCCTCTACTAACTTGGTATTAGAATTTGGGTACCCGGCCCCATCAGAAAAGAACCCGGTTGCGTCCCATTAGGGCCGTAACACTAAGGTATACTTGTTAGTTGGTGAGTAACTCCACACCCTACCCACTAACTCCACTTCCCTCTCTGGTAACTCCACCCCCTACCCACTAACTCCCCTTCCCTCCCCGGTAGCTCCACCCCCCCCCCCCTCTTCTAGCTCTACTTCTGTTCCTGATACCTTCACCCCATCCTCAATAACTTATCTTTTTTTTTTTTTTTAATTTTGCCCCGAGGGGCGAGTTTATTGGGCAGCGCCACTCATCCTGTGAGTGGACACACCGCCATAGTGACAGTATTGGGCAGCGCCACTCGTCCTGTGAGTGGACACACCGCCATAGCAGCATGTACAACACTCCCCAATAGGAAGAAAACCCGCTGGGTTGTTCATCCTATCACTTGTACCCAGACACAACTGGGACTTGCTTAACTGTCTCAAGTGAACAGCTCCTCAAACAAGATTAACATCTATCAACCCTTAAAATCTTACGTTATCTTGCAGGTGCAAAATGGGGAAATCTTTTAAGAACGGTATCAATATTTGAGTGTTTTCCTAACTCAAACAATGTGGGGTTTATTATTCTACACATATTCCTAATGTCTCTCAGGTGTTCACATTCACGTAGATAGTGGTCAAGGCGGTGTCCATCACTTGCCACAGATTCTGCACAATAACTTCTCTTCTCTCCCCAGTAACACCACCCCCTTCCTCACTAACTCCCTCCCCGGTAGATCTACTTCCATCCCCAGTAGCTCCGCCCCTTCCTCACTACACTTCCCTCCCAGGTAGCTCTGTCCCTTCCTCCACTTCCCTCCCCAGTAACTTCACTTCCATCCCCAGTAGCTCCGCCCCTCCCCACTAACTCCACTTCCATCCCCAGTAGCTCCGCCCCTCCTCACTAACTCCACTTCCATCCCCAGTAGCTCCGCCCCTCCTCACTAACTCCACTTCCATCCCCAGTAGCTCCGCCCCTCCTCACTAACTCCACTTCCATCCCCAGTAGCTCCGCCCCTCCTCACTAACTCCACTTCCATCCCCAGTAGCTCCGCCCCTCCTCACTAACTCCACTTCCATCCCCAGTAGCTCCGCCCCTTCCTCACTAACTCCACTTCCATCCCCAGTAGCTCCGCCCCTTCCTCACTAACTCCACTTCCATCCCCAGTAGCTCCGCCCCTTCCTCACTAACTCCACTTCCATCCCCAGTAGCTCCGCCCCTTCCTCACTAACTCTCCTTCCCTTCCCGGTAGCTCCGCCCGTCCTCACTAACTCTACTTCTGGTCAGGGTCCGGGATGAGGCCAGTATGACCGTATCAGCCTTCCAGTGTCTCTTCCAGAGCGCCTCCGAGTTCGGAGCCACCAAAGCAATTCAGGTATTTATTACCTTCAATATTTTGTAACTGTTTTCATTTCTGCTCCTTATTTTATATCAATATTAACGTAAATAATTATAATTAATAATTACTTTTGGCAGTTTTTTTTTTTTTTTTTTTAGGAATTTGGACTGAAGACTAGTAGGATCAAGACGATCACAAGGTCGTTTGGCCCTCGGATTATTATGGGGGAACTTTGACAAGTCACTGGCTATCTGTCCCTGTCGAAGCTATCAGAAAGATCGTGGCCCTCGGGGCTTCATGTCCCCATCAAGGCCACTAAAGAGAAGGTGGCCCATAGTACAGAGATAACATATTAACAATAACCTACATTTCTGTGCAGTCAGAGAGCGGGAAGTGGGAGCTGGAGGGGGAACTGAGCCAACTGGAGGACGGCGTGGCTGGACTGGAGGCCGAGGTGCGCCGACTGGAGGCGTGGAAAAGACAGGTACTTAATGCCACTTAACGACAGTTTGACTGGTACAGACGGCTTCTGCTGCAGGCTTGACAGGGAAGGCAGGGGTGAGGGCTTGCCAGTGACGTCAAGGGTGAGGGCTTGCCAGTGACGTCAAGGGTGAGGGCTTGCCAGTGAAGGCAAGGGTGAGGGCTTGCCAGTGACGTCAAGGGTGAGGGCTTGCCAGTGACGTCAAGGGTGAGGGCTTGCCAGTGACGTCAAGGGTGAGGGCTTGCCAGTGACGTCAAGGGTGAGGGCTTGCCAGTGACGTCAAGGGTGAGGGCTTGCCAGTGACGTCAAGGGTGAGGGCTTGCCAGTGACGTCAAGGGTGAGGGCTTGCCAGTGACGTCAAGGGTGAGGGCTTGCCAGTGACGTCAAGGGTGAGGGCTTGCCAGTGACGTCAAGGGTGAGGGCTTGCCAGTGACGTCAAGGGTGAGGGCTTGCCAGTGACGTCAAGGGTGAGGGCTTGCCAGTGACGTCAAGGGTGAGGGCTTGCCAGTGACGTCAAGGGTGAGGGCTTGCCAGTGACGTCAAGGGTGAGGGCTTGCCAGTGACGTCAAGGGTGAGGGCTTGCCAGTGACGTCAAGGGTGAGGGCTTGCCAGTGACGTCAAGGGTGAGGGCTTGACAGTGAAGGCAGGGTGAGGGCTTGACAGTGAAGGCAGGGTGAGGGCTTGACAGTGAAGGCAGGGGTGAGGGCTTGACAGTGAAGGCAGGGGTGAGGGCTTGACAGTGAAGGCAGGGGTGAGGGCTTGACAGTGAAGGCAGGGGTGAGGGCTTGACAGTGAAGGCAGGGGTGAGGGCTTGACAGTGAAGGCAGGGGTGAGGGCTTGACAGTGAAGGCAGGGGTGAGGGCTTGACAGTGAAGGCAGGGGTGAGGGCTTGACAGGGAAGGCTGGGGTGAGGGCTTGACAGGGAAGGCTGGGCTGAGGGCTTGACAGGGAAGGCTGGGCTGAGGGCTTGACAGGGAAGGCTGGGCTGAGGGCTTGACTGGGGTGAGGGCTTGACAGGGAAGGCTGGGCTGAGGGCTTAAAAAAAAGATGAATGATAGTCCCTGGAGCCAGGCAATAAGAAAACACAATTCACCACCACTAATTACATCAATAACTATCATACTGGTCATTATACTGGTCACTATACTAACCAGTGTTGGGGTCCCTGGCCACCAGGTGGCGCAGAGGTGGGAGGAACGACGCGAGGTGCAAATGGCCTTGTTTACCGAGGAGCTGGAGTGTCTGGAACGGTCCGAGAAGCAGTACCAGGTGAGATGTCTGGACCGGTCCATGTACCAGGTGAGATGTCTGGACCGGTCCATGTACCAGGTGAGATGTCTGGACCGGTCCATGTACCAGGTGAGATGTCTGGACCGGTCCATGTACCAGGTGAGATGTTATGGTGGAATGTATGGAACCGCCCTATTGGTCCATACGAGGCGGCTCCTATTGGTCCATACGAGGCGGCTCCTATTGGTCCACACGAGGCGGCTCCTATTGGTCCATACGAGGCGGCTCCTATTGGTCCATACGAGGCGGCTCCTATTGGTCCACACGAGGCGGCTCCTATTGGTCCACACGAGGCGGCTCAGCTGTGACGATGTCAGTCGATGACGTCATCGATCATGACGTCATTGACGAGTTTCTTACTAAACCAAGTTACTTAATTATATACATGTTTGAGGTAACTGTGAATGCTATTTTGGTTCCTTACGACAGAGAGTTAAAGGGAATTTGTAAGCAATATAGATGAAACAGGTCACGTATATAATATATATTAGCATGATTAGCCTGAATGTTGCATAATAATTACGGTAAATGGTAATTAGTGAACATAAGGGCGGCCATAACGAGCGGGGGGATGAAAAGCACTGAACAACAAGAGGGTAATGACGCCTTTAATCAATACTCCGCCCTCCCGCCAGCGCGCCTCTTCTAACTCCAGGATAAACTACCACACTCTAATACGGATTTTTTCCCCATCACGGACTACAGCAACGCATAAACCTCCATTGTTATTATCCCAGAACGAACGAATAGAATTTATTTTGCCCTTTTATATATCCTAGAACGAACTAAGACATCCTTATTCATCTTTGATTTTACCACAGAACGAACGAGAAAAACTTATATAAGCTTACTTTTTACCCAGGATGAACGACAGCCTTATTCCATTTTTTTTTTATTTAGTATAAACAGAGATTCTTTCTTTACCCCAGGATGAGCGAGGATCCCTTAAAAATCCAGCCTTGTTTTTACCCCAAGATGAACGAGGATCCCTCAAAGGCCTTATTACCCCCCCCCCAGATCAAACAAGACTTTTTTTTATTATTCATTTTTCACAGAATTAACGGGAATGGCGCCTTATCCACCATGTTCTTGCTCCAGGACGAACGAGGACACCCATAATCAGCCATATTTTTTTTTGCAACAAGAAGAACAAGATTAACCTGTTATCCAACCTTTTCTTAAACCAAGATGAACAAAGACCTTATCCGACATACTGGTAGTTACTAGTGAACTGGTATAGTTACCTGGTAGTTACCAGTGAACAGGTATAGTTACTAACGATCTGGTAGTTACAAGTAAACTGGTATATTTATTTACTAGTTACTGTGTCAAAGGCTTTCTGATAGTCCAAGAAAATGCAATCTGGCAACCCGTCTCTTTCTTGCCTAATTTTTGCTGCTTGGTCATAGAATTCTATTAATTAAACCTTTGAGGCACGATTAACCATCTCTGAACCCATGCTGTGATGTTTTACAAAGCTATTTCCCTCCAGATGCTCTACGAGCCTTTTCCTCACGATCTTCTCCAGCACCTTGCACGGTATACAAGTTAGGGAAATTGGCCTGTAGTTCAGTGCCTCTTGCCTGTCACCCTTTTTGTATTTTGGGACTACATTAGCTGTCTTCCAGCTTTCCGGTAGGTCTCCCGTTTCCAGTGACCTGTTATACACCATAGAGAGTGGCACACTTAGTGCTTCTGCACCTTCTTTTAGTATCCATGGTGAGATTCTGTCAGGCCCAACAGTCTGTCACATCCAGCTCCAGCAGCGCTATGTCATGGGTTCGTACCTGGCCGGGGAGGATTTTGACCTCATCGCTGGTGAGGTCAAATTCCTCCAAGGTTACTTGGTTTGCCTCCTCCTCATTTAGTGCAGGGGCTTCCCCTTGTTCTATTGTGAAGAGTGCTCATCACCCAGTGTTCAGTGAACACCCTGTGTTCAGTGAACACCCTGTGTTCAGGGTTCATCACCCAGGGTCCAGTGTTCAGTGTTCATCACCCAGTGTTCTGTGTTCTTACAGGTGCTGATCGAGACGCTCCTGGCCAGCAGGAACTCCTGAGGCAGCAGTGTTCAGTGTTCATCATGAACAGCCAGCGGCCCGCGCCACACAGCGGTGAAGGCGGTGGTCATTCACACAGTCAATAGGTCACCTTTTAACGTTCTCGTAACCTCCTGAACTAAGTAATTAAAGTGAGGGAACGCTTGTTACCTTGCCTGCTTGGGTAGTTAATTGTTCTCACCAAGTTGTGCTTGCGGGGGTTGAGCTTCGACTCTTTGGTCCCGCCTCTCAACTGGTTCACTATACAACAGGCTCCTGAACCTATTGGGCTCTATCAGTATCCATTGTTCAGTGTCCAACTGCCACAATGGACAGTTTCATATAGTGTAGTGCATTTGTTTACACAGTATACCTCCTGTCTGTCTGTCCCCACACAGTATACCGCCTGTCTGTCTGTCCACACACACAGTATACCTCCTGTCTGTCTGTCCCCACACAGTATACCTCCTGTCTGTCTGTCCCCACACAGTATACCGCCTGTCTGTCTGTCCACACACACAGTATACCTCCTGTCTGTCCACACACCCACAAATTGGCTTAATTATTGCATATTTAAAGAACATTAAACATTATAAACCTGGATAAAATCAGCAGAAGCCCCGAACAGGATTCGAACCCGTACCCGTGGTTCTCCAAACTACACGCCACGCTACACTGGAACCATAACTCATTGATTTTCTCCTCGATACACCACGTTATTGTGAGTTCTTTGTACGTTAAAACTCTCAATAAATCCTCTGTAATTGCTGTAATGTCTTTAATCTTGTGTAGAGAAACAACTGTTTACTTACAAAATAAAGCAACTGTTTACTTACAAAATAAAGCAACTGTTTACTTACAAAAATAAAATGTAGCCTTAGTAGTCTGTTTCATTTCATTGATCAAACATGCTGATGTTCGGAGCCGGTCGGCCGAGCGGACAGCACACTGGATTTGTGATCCTGTGGTCCCGGGTTCGATCCCGGGCGCCGGAGAGAAACAATGGGCAGAGTTTTTCACCCTATGCCCCTGTTACCTAGCAGTAAAATAGGTACCTAGTAAGCTGTCACGGGCTGCTTCCTGGGGGTGGAGGAACCGGGCCGCGGGGACACTAAAGCCCCGAAATCATCTCAAGATAAGATGATGTTCCTGATACTCGCACATAAGAACATAGAATTTCTTATGGAATTAGTTAGGAGCAAGAAAGGAATCCCGATCATATGTGGCATTCTTCCAAGAAAGGGAGTGGGAAATGAATGGATGTCGAGGGCACTTGGTGTCAAATGCCGTCTGGAAAGATATTGCAAATCAAATGCAATATCTTTCATAGACAACTGGGAACACTCAACTGGGAACACTTCTATGAAATTAAATGTATGTTCGTGATGGGGTGCATCTATAGAGGGCTGGAGTTGTTGTTGTTGTGAACTCGTTGGAACCAGTGGTTAGAGGCATTTGTTTGGGTTTAAACTGTTAGTATATAGTGGTATGGGAATTTGCAGGAAGGAAGTAATAAAAGTATGTTTGTGGGACAAACAAATTGGCAACATGACCAGGGAAGAAGGGCCTCAAAAAATCAATTCACAATATTACAGTATATTACACTAACAGTAGAAGTCTAACAAATAAAATAAAAGATTTAAATGCTCTTGTCTGCACAGAAAAAAATAGATATTATTGCACTTACCGAAACATGGATGAATGTAGAAAATAGAGAACTATTAGCTGAATATCAAATAAATGGATTTAAACTTTTTCACAGATAGATACATTAGACGAGGAGGTGGAGTAGCCATATATGTTAGGGACAATTTGAAATGTAGTCTCAAAGAGGGAATCAAAACTGAGCCTCACACAGAAACTATTTGGATAGAATTAAACGAAAAAGCAAATAATATTATAATAGGAGTTATATATAGGTCACCAAATTTTTTTTTTTTTTTTTTTTTAGATATATACAAGAGTTGTTACATTTTTGTACAGCCATTAGTACGCGTAGCGTTTCGGGCAAGTCCTTAATCCTGTGGTCCCTGGAATACGATCCCCTGCCGCGAAGAATCGTTTAAATTTAGACAGAATGGAAGCAAAGCATCTATGGGATGAAATATCTAGAGCATCTAGATCTAACAGTATTTGTCATGGGTGACTAATTTTAGGGGAATAAACTGGGTGAACAAAATAGGGAATAATGAAGCAGAAGATTTTCTAGAAGTAATAGATGACTGCTTTCTTACGCAACACATTAAGGAACCAACACGGGAAAATAATATTATAGATTTAGTGTTAACTAATAGGGAAACACAAATAAGAACATAAGAACAAAGGCAACTGCAGAAGGCCTATTGGCCCATACGAGGCAGCTCCTATTTATAACCACCCAATCGTGTTCTGTCTTGTGTTGATACTTTTAATACCCTATTAATATCCCCTTTGTTATGTCCATTCACCCACTTGTAAACCTCTATCATGTCACCCCTAACTCTTCGCCTTTCCAGTGAATGCAACTTAAGCTTTGTTAATCTTTCTTCATATGAAAGATTTCTAATTTGGGGAATTAACTTAGTCATCCTACGCTGGACACGTTCAAGTGAATTTATATCCATTCTATAATATGGCGACCAAAACTGAACTGCATAATCTAAATGGGGCCTAACTAGAGCAAGATATAGCTTGAGAACCACACCAGGTGTCTTGTTACTAACGCTGCGATTAATAAATCCAAGTGTCCGATTTGCCTTATTACGAACATTTATGCATTGATCCTTTTGTTTTAAATTCTTACAAATCATAACTCCCAGATCCCTTTCGCAATCCGACTTCGCAATCTCAACACCATCTAGCTCGTATCTTGTAACTCTATCATCATTACCTAGCCTCAGAACTTTACATTTATCAGCATTAAACTGCATCTGCCAATCCTTTGACCATTTCAAAACCCTATTTCAAATTTCAAATTTCAAATTAATTTTCAAATTAAGGACATCGAAATAGGGAGTGAGCTAGGAACAGTGATCACAAAGAAATCAGATTTAGCATAGAATGGAATACGTCTGTAGGAGAAAATTCTGTTAAAGTGCCAGATTTTCGAAAAGCTGATTTCAAGTTCAAGTATGTTTATTGAGATAAGCAATAAATACATCTCAAAGGGATAGAGTAGCTTAGGCTATTTCTACCCCCCTCTACTTCAAGTCCCTCAAGGGGCGCACAAATTCAGTGAGTACAAATAGACATATAACAGTACAAGAATCCCATTTAACATTGCATACAGCAAGTACAGCATATAATTGTTACATTCTTGGAGCAAAATTCTTGTAGCTCCTAAGTATACTGTCTATTATACCATTATCACACATCCAAACAATTTGATGTGGTACACTATTTATTTCCTTATTTCTATATTTTTCAATAAGTTGACACTCTAATACATAATGTTCTAAGGTGTGGGCGTACGGCATGCTACATAATTTACACTCCTTATCTTTTTCACTGACATCGACACCGTATTGCCAGATATATTTATATCCTAATCGTAATCTCATGTAAATTGAATCCTTCCAAGTAGACTTTCCTTTACCATAAGTGAAGGACGAATTTATTTATTATTGAATAATTCTTAAGTGTGTTACTACTGTCCACCAATGCCATTCTCTTTATCATTTCTTCACCCTCCTGAATCACCTTGAGTCTTGTTTTTATTTGTTTCAAGGTTAACTGACATACAACATCAACAAGAGTTTTTTCAGTGGCTCTCTTCGCTATGTCATCAACTACCTCATTCAACAGTATTCCCACATGTGAAGGGATCCACATGAATCTTACTTTATACCCAGTTTTTTCAAGTCTCTTAACATTCTCTCTACACTCTATCACAATATTCTGATATACTGGGCGTCTGCTATTTAAAGACTCTAACGCTCCTCTGCTGTCAATAAAGAAGCAAGCATTTTTACCACATTTGACTACTTCCTGTAATCCTGCTAATACTCCTTGGAGTTCAGCCTGCGTTGAAGAGACATTGTCAGTTAAGCGGCGTCCAATAACAGTATCTACAGTGCCGATGTCAGTGTACTCCCTGATCAAGACTCCACATCCTGCCTTCCCATCCCTAGCTACTGACCCATCACAATATACATGTAGAGTGTTTTCTGTAGGCAGTTTTCTAATTATACAATCATATATTATCATAGCAATATGGAAGTTGTAGTTAAGGACCTGGTGACTCTAGTGGGAGCCCTGAGGACAGAGTTGGACTCTCTGCGGGAGGAGGTGCGTCAGCTTAAAGAACAACGAGAAGTAACGAAGGAGGAGACCAGCAGTAAAGGGACCTCGTCTTGGAGAGTTGTGAAAGACAGGGGCCTTAAGAAGACTTTGATAAAGCCGCCTTCAAACGCCATAGCAACCTCTAATTCATTTGACGTTTTGGAGGACGAGTGCTGTGGAGAGACTGTGGATCGCGCAAAAGGGAAAGCAACGAAGAGAAAGGAAGCGCAGGCCCCTCAGAGGGTAAAGGAAGTACCTAAGCAAACATTAGTTGTGGGAGATTCCCAGATAAGGTATTTGGATAGAACGTTTTGTGCTAGAGATAGGGGGAACAGGTTAAGGGTTTGCTATCCCGGAGCTGGCATTGGTGATATTATAAACAACATGAATGATATTATGGCTGGTAATGGGAACAATCCCATTATTTGCATTAGCGTGGGAGGAAATGATGTTGGTCGAGTTAGGAGTGAGGAACTGATTCAGAGGTATAAAACAGCCATAAAGTTAGTTAGGAGCAAGGGAGGAATCCCGATCATATGTGGCATTCTTCCAAGAAAGGGAGTGGGAAATGAATGGATATCGAGGGCACTTGGTGTCAATTGCCGGCTGGAAAGATATTGCAAATCAAATGCAATATCTTTCATAGACAACTGGGAACACTTCTATGGAAGAAATGAAATGTATGCTCGTGATGGGGTGCATCTATCGAGAGCTGGGGTTGTTGCTGTTGCGAACTCGTTAGAAGAAGTGGTTAGAGGTGTTTGTTTGGGTTTAAACTGTTAGTAGATAGAGGTATGGGAATTGATTTGGAGGAAGGAGGTAATAAAAGTATGTGTTTGTGGGAGAAAGGAATTGGCAAAACGACCAGGGAAAGAGAAGGTCCGCAAAATAACAATTCACTTAGGGTATATTACACTAACAGTAGAAGTCTAAGAAATAAAATTAACGAATTAAATGCTCTTGTCTGCACAGAAAAAATAGATATTATTGCACTTACCGAAACGTGGATGAATGTAGAAAATAGAGAACTATTAGCTGAATATCAAATATATGGATTTAAACTATTTCACACAGATAGATATATTAGACGAGGAGGTGGAGTAGCCATATATGTTAGGGACAATTTGAAATGTAGTCTCAAAGAGGGAATCAAAACAGAGCCACACACAGAAACTATTGGATTGAATTAAACGAAAAAGCTAATAATATTATAATAGGAGTAATATATAGGCCACCAAATTTAGACAGAATGGAAGCAAAGCATCTATGGGATGAAATATCTAGAGCATCTAGATCTAACAGTATTTATGTCATGGGTGACTTTAATTTTAGCGGAATAAACTGGTTGAACAAAACAGGGAATAGTGAAGCAGAAGATTTTCTAGAATTAATTGACGATTGCTTTCTTACGCAACACATTAAGGAACCAACACGGGAAAATAATATTTTAGATTTAGTGTTAACTAACAGGGAAACGCAAATTAATGACATCGAAATAGGGAGTGAGC